CTATTTATAAAAGGCAGGATGTGTGTGTGTGTGTGTGTGTGTGTGTGTGTGTGTGTGTAACGAATGCACGGCCGCAATTTTCGACGGATTTGCACCAAAATTTACATGCACATGCTTCAAGTTAGCGGGAAAGCCACGACAGACATTGCATTTCTCAACTCCCATCGATAGTGGAAATAATCGATTTTTTCATGCTTCTACGGCAGTTTTCATTTAGTTTACGGCCAATTTCTACTGGCCAGAGTGAGAGCCTATAGCTGGCTGGCACGAATAGGCAGGAAGATTCTATTGGCCAGCGTGAGAGCCAACAGCTGACTGACACGAATGTTAACTAGCATGTTAGCATGCAAAAAAAAATCGATAGCTGCATTCGTCACAAGTGGGAAAAATTTAAATCTGCATGGCACTTTACTCCAATTGGCTCATTCGCTTGCTTAAAATCAACGTTGATTCTGATTCCGCAGAACTGGGTTGGGTGTGAAAAAGTATTTGTTGCTAATATTCTTTTTTCATTTGGTTTTTCCAGTTACGAGTCCTTTTTTTAAAGCTGATCGTTTTGTGTTCATTTTGTTTAGTTTTTTTTCCGTTTTTAGTAAAAGGCAACACCCTCAAATTCCTTGCCATTTTTTAATTATTAACCCAAAGAAAAAAAGTATACAGCACATTTGACATAGTTATTCCTCAAACCTGAACTTCTGGGACAAAGACTTGGCGATGCGTTCAATCATGTCATTATTTTTTAATGAATTGACCTATTCGGTGACTTGCTGCAACTGAGGAGGAGACACGGTGGAGTAATGGATAGCGGCTCGGGTTGAGGAATCGGAGAGCCATTCCAGAATTCCAGTCGAATCCATTACATTCACTTACGTGCTAACACCCTTGGGAAAGGTGTGAATCCTCTTTCTTCTCCCTCCAGCTATGGGTAAATAGCAGGACAGACTGGGTTCTATAGCCTTGGATGGCAACTGGTCTAGGAGAAGGAAAACTCTGGATTCAAACCTGCTCTTAGAGGAGGGTGAATGGAGTCTCTCTGAGCCTTGGTTGGCAATCCATGTAGTGTTGGTGTCACGATAAAAACACCCTTGATAGCCCTAGCGAAGCATCAAGAATTCAGCTATTTGACAAGATTATGAACTACACCAATCAAAAAGTATTAGTGAGTTCAATCTCGGCTGAGGCCGCAAGATGATGATGATGATGCACATTAAAACGCAAAGCAGACAAACCCGAACGAGCTTCTTCGGCACAGCCTCGTTTTCGCGCTAACTGCTCAAGCTATGAATTTTGTGTATGCGAAATGCACCGACACTGAGTAATTCATACACCCCAATTCCTAGCGCATATTTTAACAATTTAATTGTCACGTGATCTATTCATTTACTTGCCATGAGTCACTTCTTCCCACACAACCTAAAAACGACAAAGCCTTTTTTTTTGTTACCTTATACTTTGCTTATCTTTTGAAAGGCATCTTTCGTTATACCAATTTCGTTAACCCGCTTTCCGTCCTGTTAAAACAATTCCCAGATATTTACAATCAAACATTAAATTTCAGGTGAGCTACTGTAATTATTATTTACACTATTTAGATTGTTGGATCCAGTGATTTGACCCAAAGAGTTGTGAGTTCAATACCTGGCTACGGCAGAGGTGAACAAAAACTTGGAGAGTTGAGTTAAAGGGAGATAAGTGAGACATCCGGAGGGGGCATGGCACGTGGAACTAGAACAATCTACCCCGGTAAACAAAATAAAGGGTTCAGTTCGAAATTCAAATCACCTGAAGAAGGCCGGAACGTACAACGGCCGAAACGTCGTGAATATGGCAACGAAGATGAGGACAACAGTTCGAACAATGTAAATAGTGTAAATAAGCACATTTGTTCGTCCAACAGCTGCAACATGTCTATAATAGTGTCAAGAGGAACAATTTTGTTCTACTCCAGGATAATGCAAGCCCACATGCTGTAAGAATAATGCAGGAATATTTTTTTATTTTCATTTATTTATTTATATTTTAATTCCTTTGTTCAACGCCAGTTGCAATGTTCACCAGCCCTTGCAACAGTTGATTATTACCTTTTGCGATCTCTGCAAAACGCTTTGCTGGGGAAAACTTGTTGACAATGTTTGCTGCAGTCCCTGAATATGGAATCCAGTGAAGTCCGTAATTTGTTCAATATCAGAGGTCGGCAGTGAAGATTCAGAGAAAGTAGCGGTTGTTAAGTAATTCTTTAAGTCTTCGATATCAGGTTGGCAGGGCAGACAATTTAGGAGAAAAAAAATGGCTGCCTTTATACACGTCGCATTGAATATTTTGAGCTTTCTGATTGGTTAACCCTTCTATTGGTGAACTATAAAATGAGTCAGCTCATTTAGGCTAGCTCTCTAGTACACACATACACAAAAAACTGCAACAAAACTTTCTCTAGTAACAAAAAAAGCAGATTCGATTGTTTGCTGAAAATATTTTCACAGCAAAACCTGTTTTTTTTTTGTTTTGTTTTGTTTTTTTTTACAGTAAAGTTCACCCCGTACAAAGCTCAGGGACAAATCGAGATAGAGGGTTACCTTAGGGGGTAGTTTATATGGATAAAGGTTAACTCTAGACTCAAACAGGTTAAGAGAAGAAAACACCCACTTAGGAGTCTATTACATAAGGCAGAGGTTGCGGAAGTTTTCGCTGATGGAATACGGAAGGAATGAGGGTGATTCACTACTTTGTAAGTGGCATGGCGCTTCCTAGCCGTGAAGCTTAAACCTGGTGGAACCAAGGAATGCAGTTGGTTCGAGCACTTTCCATGGAAGTAGCGACAGAAAAGTAAGAGGCTCACCATATCCCGCCTATGAAAGTGTTATGGAGTGATTTCACAGTGGAGGGTTGTATTTGTACTAAGTCGGTCCTAAAATAGGTTCGACGTACAAAACGTTAGGAACTTCATATAATAGGTATGACGTAGAGTAATCTAGTGGTGGTCTAACGGTCGTCCGGCATCGACTGTCTGGCGATATTCAGTCACCCCCACCACGAGGGCGTCATGTCGCACAAGGCCTTTTTAACGTGGGAACTCCGAGCCTGTGGGCTCGGCCAAAAATATGCCCATTGAACCCGTATAAACGGGTTCAGGGTCAGTTTACCTCCCCGAAGGAGACTCCGCCCCTCGGCGTAGCCTCGTTCGGGTTCCTCCCCGTCCGAAGGCAGAGAGTTCAACCGTTCAGCCGTCGTCCGACATCGACGCTATTTAGTAACTTCCCCACGCAGTCACATGTGGCACATGGCCGAATTTAATGTGGGGTTCCCGAGCCTGTAGGCTCGGCCAAAAAATCCCATAGACCTCGCATAAAGGAGATCGGGTCTGTCTACCTCCCCGGACGAAACTCTGCCCTTTGGCATAGCCTCGTCCGGGTTCCTCTCTGCCCGAAGGCAGAGAGCTCGACTGTCGTCCAACATCGACTGTCGTCCGACATCGACTAAGCCGACTGCGCGACTTCTACTTATTATAGGTGGGAGAGTCTATTAACTATAGAATAGGTGTGTTCCACTATAACAGAGAAAGAGATTGGAGGGTGGAAAATAATCCTTCTCCAACAATAACTCATTTGAGATACTTTTGAACTCTATCATGTTTGGAAAGTGAGGTCTGGGCAACCCCTGCCGAAATATTGCAACAGTACACCATTTTCGGCCTGATCTGGCTCTTATAAAGGCAGAGGATTGTATGAGAAATCAGGTATTTACTGAATTGAAACTGGGTATGAGCTTGAGGCCTAATATCATCTCAAGGCGCGGTGCCTGCTCGAGGGGACAAATAGAGAAGAGGAGAGGGGGTTTCTCTCTAGATACAAAAAGATTTCCGTTTGTAAATTCAACTTCGGTTCCAGCTCACATTGACTCTGTTTATTTGGGATCGGACTAAATTATATTGGGATGAGAATCTGATAAGTTACCCATTGCTTTGAGACAGGCATTTTTGCGGAGATATTCCCATACGTTTCGCAACACGAGTCGTGCCGTATTTAAATATAGGCTGTAGCCCAGCGGCAACAAGACGAGAAGAGTCCCTAAGGTCGCTCTAGTCTTGTGCTAAAGAAAATAAAGATATAAGAAAAGCGAAGACTTGTTTAAATAATTTGAAACAATTTAGAATATTCGATCCCCTTGGATTGGAGTGGGCCTTTTAAATTCGATTGTGTCCTTTCAAGTGTTTTCCTTTAGAGTTTGATGCATTTGATGTAGACGGGAGTTCGATGTTACTCAAATGTTATCGATTAATTGGTTCATTGATTCGTTCCAAACACTTTTCAGATTATTAAATAACTAGAAAATATTTTTAGATTGTAGTAATTTTTTTTTTTGAGATAATTATAATTTAGTGATACAAGTCTAATTAACCCATAGCTGACAAGGGAGGTGGTTGATTCTTACCTTTTCCAAGGGTATTTCTGCGTAAGTCAATATAATGAACTTATCTGGAATTATAATTCGGCTCTGAATTCCGAGCCATTATCCATTACACCACCCGCACATCCAATCTTACGACATCTGGTATTCCCAAGCGGTCACCCATCTTATGTGCTGTCCAGGTTCGACGTTGCTTAACTTCGGTGAACTGCTGTTTCAACGTGATGTGGCTGCAAGGCAAAACCTATCAAAGGACACACTAAGTTGACGCATGCAATTGCAAATATTAGCGAATATCTAATTAAATAAAATGTAACAGTGCTTTATTTTTTGAAGATGGACGTTGATCATCAAAAAGAGAAATTATTTCTGAGTCAACCAAATAATTTCCTTACAGGGCACTCAGCTATTATAGTCTTGTTCCATACTTGGCTTTGGGGAAGAAATCTATAAAAAGTTTCATAGAATTAGGAACAGTTGATGCTAAAATCAAAGGTCACTAGAGATTGCAAGGAAAAAGCTTTGATATCTGAGGAAAATGTCAGGGCTGTTATATAATCGGTAAGGTTGGAGATAACACCCAAGACAAGGTGGAAATGCTAGAAATTTGTCGATATCAGGTTTGCTAGCATCATCTGTTTGTGTGTGTTTGTGTGCGTATGTGCGCATGCGCGTGTTTTCACCATAACGTTCTTTTTTTGTATTTCTTTTTACGTTATAATTTCTAGATTTTTTTATATATTTTTCATTTTCTTTCTCCTTTCTTTTATTATATATATATATATATATATATATATATATATATATACGTACATACATAATATATATATATATATATATATATATATATATATATATATATACATAAATATATATATATATATATATATATATATATATATATATATATATATATATATATATATATATATATATATATATATATATATATATAAATGGATCCTTATCAGTCTGTTTGTATATTTGTCTATAAATATTCATCTCTCTTCTTTTTTTCTTTCATATTTTCAATTTCTTCATTTCTTTCTTCTTTGTTTCCGTATTTTATATTTTTTTTTATATTCCTTTTAAGTTTCTTTCTTTCATATTTTATATTCTTTCTTTCTTCCTTTCTTGGTGCCATATTTTATATTTTTTTTTTTTTGTACTTTTTTTCATATTTTTTATTCTTTCTTTCTTCCTTCCTTTCTTACATTCTTTCTTGTTTCCGTATTTTATATTTTTATATTCCTTTGTTTATTTTTTTCATATTTTATATTCTTTCTTTCTTCCTTTCTTTCTTTCTTTCTTTCTTTCTTTCTTTTTTCCTTTCTTTCTTTCTTTCTTTTTTCCTTTCTTTCTTTCTTTCTTTGTTCCGTTTTTTATATTCTTTTTGTAGTTTCTTTCTTATTTATATTCTTTCTTTTTTTACGTTTTCCATATTTCCTTCTTTCTTTTCTATTTTATATTCTTTTTACTTTATTTCTTTCTTTCGTTCGCATTCTTGCTTCCGTTTTTGGTTTATTTCTTCTTATCATTCTTTTTTTCTTTATTCATTTCGTATTTTATGTTCCTTTTTTCTGTCTTTTTTTAATTTATGTTCGTTATTGGACTTCTTTCGTACTTTTATATTCTTTTTCTTTGTTCATTTCTTCGTTTTGTGTTTTAGGTTCGTTGTTTTGGTCTTTCTTTCTGTCATATTTTATATTGAATTTTTGGTTTCATTTACATTCTTTCCTATTTTAAATACCGTTTCTTTTTCTTGTTTCATATTTACTTATTATTTCATTCATTTTTTTTTTCTTTTTCTTAATATTTTCATCTTTCGTTTTCTTTCTTTTCTTTCATTCCATATTGGGGTATTTTTCTTTGTTTGCATTTCTGTAAATATTCATTTTTTTTCTTCCATATTTTACATTCCATTCTTTTGTTTATTTCTTATTTTATAGTATTCCATTTTTTCCTTTTATTTCTTCCTTCCTTTCTTTCTCTTTCTTCCTTTTTTTCTTTCTTTCATGTCTTGCTTTCGTATTTTATATAACTGTTTAGTTTCTTACCTAATTTATAGTCTTTGTTTCTTTTTTCGTTCTTGCTCGCTTGGATCCGCATTTTATATTACCTTTTTATAGTTGCTTTCTTAATTTATATACTTTCTTCCTTTCTTTCTTTCTTCCTTTCTGTCCTTCCAATTCCTTTCTTTCCTTCTTTTTTCTTTCTTTCTTAGTTCCGTATTTTATATTCTTTTTTAAGTTTCTTTCTTATTTTACATTCTTTCTTTCTTAATTTCTTTCTTCATTTATTTCTTTCATTCTTCCTTCATTTCTTTCTTTCTTGCTTTCTTTCTTTTTCTTTCTTGCTTGCTTCCATATTTTATATTGTTTTTTAGTTTCTTTCTTACTTTACATTCTATCTTTTCTTCTTTCTTGCTTCCGTATTTTTTATTCCTTTCTTTTAAGTTTCTTTCCTTCTTTCGTTCATATTTTATGTCCCGTTCTTTGGTTTCTTTCCTTCCTTTCCTTCTTTCTTTCTTTCGTTCTTTCTTTCTTTCTTTCTTTCTTTCCTTTCTTTCTAACCATCCTTCCTTCCTTTTGTAATTCCTGTTCATTTTTGTGCCTTTCTTTCAATTTTCCTTATTACTTTCTTAATGTAAATGTTTTTTCTAGTTTCATATTTACTTATTCTTTCTTTCCTTCTTTCCTTCTTTCTTTCTTTCTTTCTTTCCTTCTTTCTTTCTCTCATTCTTTCTAATATCTTTCTTTCTTTCTTTCTTTTTTCTTTCTTTCTTTCTTTCTTTCTTTTTTCATTCTTTTCCTTATTATTTTCCCCTTTTGTTTTTCTTTTCTTTTTCCTGCTTTTCTTTGTTTATCTTTGTTTCTTTCTTTCTTTCCTTTTGGTTCGATATTTCTTATTTTAAATGTTTTTTTCTAGTTTCATATTTACTTATTCTTTCTTTCTTTCCTTCTTTCTATCTTTCCTTCACTTCTTTCTTTCTTTCTTTCTTTCTTTCTTTTCCTCATTCTTTTCCCCTTTGGTTTTTCTTTTGTTTTTCCTGCTTTTCTTTGTTTTTTTTCTTTCTTTCCTTTTGGTTCGATATTTCTTATTTTAATTTTTTTTTTTTCTAGTTTCATATTTACTTATTCTTTCTTTCTTTTTCTTTCTTTCTTTCTTTCTTTCTTTCTTTCTTTCTTTCTTTCTTTCCTTCATTTTTTCTTTCTTTTCCTTCTTTCTTTTTTCCTTCCTTCCTTCTTTCTTTCTTTCTTTTCCTTATTATTCCCCTCTTTCGTTTTTCTTTTCTTTTTCCTGCTTTTCTTTGTTTATCTTTGTTTCTTTCTTTCTTTCCTTTTGTTTCGATATTTCTTAATCTTTTATTCCTTCTTTTTTGAATTCTTCTTTTTAATTCTCTTCCTTGTTTTTCATTGTTTATTTTAATATTCTTCTCAACTTTTCTTCTTTCTTTCTTTTCATTCCTGTCTCTCTTCTTCCTTATTAGTAATTTTCTTTCTTCCTTTTCATTCTCTATTTTTCCTCGCACTTTTTGATTATTCTAATTTTCTTTCTTTCTTTCTTTCTTTCTTTCTTTCTTTCTTTCTTTCTTTCTTTCTTTCTTTCTTCCTTTTTTTTTCTTTTCCGAAACTGTCCCTTCGCATCTGATAACCATTTTATTATTTTTATTCTTCAATTTTTCGTTCATTCCTCACTTGGACATATGACAGTATCACGTTGAAACTCCGGTGTAGTGTAATGAATAATGGCTACGAATTGTTAATCGGAGATTAACTTCAGCAACATCGTATCTGGTTAGTAACTAGATGGGTTACGCTTGGGGAGGTGCTGTAAGCTTTGATATGCGGGTGGTGTAATGGATAATGGATCGGAGAGCCGAGTTCCAATTCCATCTGGGTTCGGTATATTCACTTACGTAAAAATGTTCTCAGGAAGGTATAAATCTACTATGGGTTAATTAGTAAGACTTCTATCATTAATTATTATTATCTCAAAAAAAAAAAATTTTACAGACTAAAAATATTTTTGGGGTTTAAATAAACATCAAAGGGTTGATAAGCCGTAAAAAATCGAATCAGTGAATCAATGAATGAAAACTCCTCTCTTTTCTATCGATTTTCATATTTCTTTCTTTCTTTCTATCTATCTTTTGACCTTTCTTTGTTTCTTTCTTCTGATTCTTCCACTCTTTCTATTCTCACACTTTCCCCCCTCTTTTCCCCCCATTCTAGTGTATCTTCCCCCCCGCCCTGTATTTTCTTTCTTATCACCTCCTCCCGTCACATTTATTTTGATTCCTTCCTCCCTCCACCTCCATCAGGTTACCATCTGCCTCCTTCCACTTTAATAAACGTTAGCGCTGCCAATACAATCTTCTCTCTTATTTCGGCCTTCGGTGTGGTCCACACGCTTTCCCATATCGATTAGTCACGTCTGCCAACCGCACGAACCTTGTCATTTTCCACAATTTCCTACCTAGCCATTTTTTCCCCTCCATTCTTCTCGTTCCTTTCTTCCACGTTCAGTTTGAAATATATCTGGTCAACGGGTCATTTCTTTCTTTCTTTTTTTTTCTTTCTGTTACTTCCTTCATCATTTTTTTTTTTTTTTTTTTTTGCTGGTATTTTTCTTCTTCAAAAATGGTCTTTGTTCGACTTTCTTCTGAAAACTTCTTCCCTTTGGCCAAGACGCTACTGCATCATCTGCAGGTTTAATCATTCATCTCACGGCACGCCCCACCTCCCAAATAACCTCACACCTCTTCTCAAACCCAGCTTCTCTTCTTTAAGGTCGCGACATGAATAAACAGCCAGTTCCTCGGAGCAATTCATTCGCTTGGGGCTCGACGTGGGAGGCAAAATGAAGTTTTACGTCCGAAAGAATCAATGTCCGAACGTGTCTGTATGAATGCGTGTGTGCGCATGCGCCTTTGCGTCTGCGTTATGGAATATTCTGGAACTGGTTTTGAACCTAACTGTGAGCTTTACCCATGTTTCTAACGTTTAGAAATTTTTTGCTTGATTCTCCTATTCCATATTTGTTTCTCCTTTAAGTCTAATTGTTTATCTTTCGTTTTTGTTTTTCATTTTTTCCTTTCTTAATATTTAGAATTCTTCTGTTATTTTATAATTTCATAGCTTTTATTTTTCTCGTTTCGTTTTTATTATTTTACTTTTTGTCATTTGTCTTTCTTTCTTTCTTTCTTTCTTTCTTTCTTTCTTTCTTTTTAATACCCTTCTTTTTCTAATACCCTTCTTTCTTTCTTTCTTTCTTTCTTTCTTTCTTTCTTTCTTTCTTTCTTTCTTTCTTTCTTTCTTTAATCCTTAATTTCTTTTGTCTTTCCTGTTTTATTTATTTTACCTTTTCTTTTTTTATTTCCTTTGACTTTTTCTTTCTTCCTTCTTTCTTTCTTTTGACTTCTCTTTCTTTCTTTCTTTCTTTCTTTCTTCTCTTTCACTCTTTCTTTCTTTCTTTTGCCTTCTCTTTTTTTCTTTCTTTCTTTCTTTCTTTTGCCCTCTCTTGCTTTCTTTCTTTTTCTTCGTTATCTTTCTTTCTCTTTCATCTTCTTTCATTCTTTTGCCTACTTTTTATTTCTTTCTTTACTTCTTTTGTCTACGTTTTTTTTTTTCTTTATTACTTTCATTATATACAGCGAAACAGCGTCTGTAGACGACTATATATATATATATATATATATATATATATATATATATATATATATATATATATATATATATATATATATTTCTTTTTTTCTTTATTTTTTTCTTTCTTTTTTTTTTTGTGCTATTTCTTCCTTATCTTCCTTTCCGGTATTTTCCTATATCATTTTATTATTTTGAAAAGAATATCTAGTGACGTGAATAACAAATATTACATTCGTTTTAAAAAGCCACTCAACTCACGTTTATTTAGTTATTTATTGGTTTCAAGCGACATCAACACAAAAGCGACATTGTAGAAACTGTCTGCTAAGACGACACCAAAGTTTAATACGTTTGTGGCCTTTATGGGGGATAGTGACGTGGCAAGTAATGTCCCAAAGTTCTAACTGTCAAATCTTTGGATAAAATCAATCTAATAACGTCAGGTGGATACAATGGCAAAATATTCACGTTTTCTGAAACTGTGAGATAAATCATTTCCATTATCTTGGGAATTATTCGTAATAGCACAACTATCTTTGTAATATTGATAGCTTCGTTTTTAGCCGGGGTTCACGTCACCTTGTGTAGATGTGTCTCAAGTCTCGTTTTGGGGCAGGGAGCACATCAATTTGTCTAGATGTGTCTAAAATTCCGTTTTTGGTCAGAGGACATATCACCTTGTCTGAATGTGTCTCAAGTTTCGTTTTTGGCCAGAGAGCACACCAATTTGTCTCGATGTGTCTAAAATTTCGTTTTTGTTCAGAGGACATATCAACTTGTCTAGATGTGTCTCAAGTCTCGTTTTTGGCCAGAGAGCACACCAATTTGTCTAGGTGTGTCTGAAGTTACGTTTTCGGTCAGGGGACATATCAACTTGTCTAAAAGTCTCGTTTATTTTTTTATTTTTTTTTTGGCAAGTGTGCATATCACTTTGTTTAACTGTTTCTGAAGTACCGTTTCGCTTTGGGGTGCTCATCACCTTGTCTAGATGTGTTTTCTCTTGGGCCGGGGTGCATATCACCTTTTCTAGATGTGACTGAAGCTTTCTTTTTGGCCGGGGTGCACAACACTTTTGTCTAGATGTGTCCGGAGTCTCGTTTTGAGCCAGAGTGCTCATCACTTTGTCTTGATATGTCTTAAGTCTCGTTTTTCGGATCAGGATGCACGTCACCCTACCCAGATGTGTCCCAGGTCTCGTTTTCGGGTCTGGTCGCACATTACCTTGTCTAGATCTGTCAAAGTCTCATTTTTGGCCGGGGTGTGCATCACCTTGTCTAGAAGTTTCGTTTTCGGCTGGGTGGACGTCACCTTGTGTAGATGTAGCTGATAACCTGAGAAGAAAATGTTTCCGTTCTCCCATCAAATTCGGACTTGTTGTCCAGCGTTCCTTAATTTCCATCTATTTTTTCATGGCGTTCTATACTACAAGGTTACATGGTGTAACTAAAAGCCAGAACTGGGGGCCTTTATTTATTTTATTCCTTCCGGACTTGCTACAGTATCTTATGTTTATTTCAACAACAAAAAAAAAAAATTCAAAACTAAGTTTCGGCTTTAAATAACCCACAAAGGTGTATTTTATAGGCGTTAAAAAAGTATCCCCTCCTCGGGCCAAATAACATCAGGCAGTTGCCCTTCTGGCATTCTAGCCACTAGACCACACCATATCACATAAACGTTTAGTTAATAAAAATATTTGTGGACACAAATATTAAAACGGTGACTAGGTGGGTAGGGTTGGTGTTAGGGTTTAAAGTAGGCTATTTTATATCCCGAGTTAAGAAAAATGTTTCCATACGAAAGAATTATATTTAACAACCAATATTTACATATTCCCAAAACCTAGTAAATGTAATAAAATGTAAATGGCGCATCTACTCGAAATCAAGGATGCCAGTCTATTAGGGCGGCTAGCTAATCCCAATTGCAGACACCTTCACAGGCACCTTTATTTTTGTTCAACAGCCAAAGTCCACTGTGATTTATACTGTAACTAGGGTTGAGCTGACCTTAGTTACAGTTTTTGGGAGAGAGAGAGAGAGAGAGAGAGAGAGAGCGTTATCTAGCGTGATCAACGGTCTGAACAAGGCTAGAACGCTCAACCCCTCGGTCACGATGACTTGTGACTTCGTTCTAGCACAGCCATCGACGCTCCCCATCCAAGTGTTCCTTCTCCCCAATTTCACACACAAGGCTTGAGTCAACACGTGGTATGGTTTTCGGGCACTATCTAAAGGTGACGCACGCTTGGATCGCCTCCCCCAGACCGAGGACATCAAGAAGTCACCTTTCTGATACATCGATCATGGTGAGATTCGAACCCGGATCTCATGGTCAGAAAACGAACGTTCTAATCACTCTAACCATACTCGGCCATAGTAAATGTAACACTAATAATAATAATAACGGGAAGAAGAAGAAGAAGAAGAAGAAGAAGAAGAAGAAGAAGAAGAAGAAGATCCAACAAATGTCAATATGTTTATATTTCTGAGATGAGGTATTATGTACTCTATTTACATTATTCGGACTATTGTCCTCATCTTTGTCGCCATATTTATTACAGCGTTTCGGCCGTTGTACGCTCCGGCCTTTTTCAGGTGTTTGGAATCTCGAATGTCGAACTGACCCCTTTATTTCGTTCACTTGGACCCTCGGCCATGATGACTTGTGATTTCGTGGTAAGACAACCATCGAACAAGGCCAGCACACTCGGACCCTCGGCCATGATGACTTGTGATTTCGTGCTAAGACAACCATCGAACAAGGCCAGCACACTCGGACCCTCGGCCATGATGACTTGTGATTTCGTGCAACCATCGAACAAGGCCAGCACACTCCCTCTGATAACGCTTGGCTAATTTAAAATCTTATATCGTGATTTTATAAGCATGGCTTACATGTGGCACAAGGTTGAAAGTATGAGATGATCAGGGAAGATCGAACTCACTATTTAGTCGTAATAGTTCTGGCGAGACAAGCTTGTTAACCATTACACCAGTCGAAGTGCCCACAAAGGATCTTATAAGCGTAGCTTAGATGTGGCACAAAGCTGAAAGTATGAGACACCCAAGGAGGATCGAACTCACTTTTCGGTTGTAATTGTTCTAACAAGACAAGCTCGCTAACCATTGCACCACGTTAAAGTGCCCAAATGATTTCTAAGCGTAACTTACGTGTGGCACAAGGCCGAATGTTTGGAGCATCCAGTGAGGATCGAACTCGACTCAGTGGTAATTGTTTAGCAATTGCTAACAATTACACCATGCCTATAAAATCTTGTATGTATAAATAAAAGAACAAAAGAAGTTAAAATGGTCCGCCATGTTTGCCGTGAGATGCGAAACTTTCTTTTCGCTTTTTTTTCTATATCTCTATATGACTACTACTTGGTGTGATATGCGTGCTTTAGCTGAATGAGATTGGCGTACCTAAAGAACTCATTTGAAGGATCGTAGGACAAACGCTGAGAGAATTCTGAGAGAATTGGTAACCCTACCAGGGTTTAGAATTGGTGGCCACAATCTTAATAACATAAGATACGCAGATGATACAGTATTGATAGCAGACACGGAAAAGAAATCACAAAATCTCCTACATAAGGTAGCGACGGAGAGTGAGAAGAAGGGACTAAGCACAAACTACAAGAAGACAGAGTGTATGGTCATCAGTAAAAGGATGAGCCCGAAATGTAATTTGAAGGTCGAGAACACTAGAATCAAGCAGATGCCGAAGTTTAAATATCTGGGAAGCGTTATGACAGACGACGGTAAGTGCGACACTGAGATCCGTAGGCATATTGGGATGGCCAAGGACGCATTCCAAAAGCTGGGCTGAGTATTGCCAGACAGGAGGATTTCTTTGGTAACAAAGAAAAGAATACTGAGCTGTTACGTGACATCTGTTCTTCTTTACGGCAGCGAATGTTGGACGATTCCCTCAAAGATGAAGAAGAGACTCAAGGCGACAGAGAAGCGGTTCTATCATGGACCGAGCGTGTGAGCAACGATGAGATCTTAGAGAGGTTGCAAACAAGGAGGATGCTCAAGAAGGCCGGAGCATACAACGGCCAAAACGTTGTAATAAATATGGCGACAAAGAAGAGGACAATAGTCCGAATAATGTAAATAGTGTACATAATACCTCATCTCAGAAATATAGAAATATCGATATTTGTTGGATCTTCTTCTTCTTCTTCTTCTTCTTCTTCTTGCTATTATTATTATTAGTGTTACATTTGCTATGGCCGAATATGGTTCATCAGGAAGAGGCCGCTGAAGTTTCTGGGACACATAATGAGGAAGGAGGGCCTGGAGAATCTAATACTCACGGGTCGAACAGAATGAAAGAGAAACAAGGGAAAACAACGCGTGGCATTACCTGGTGGACAAGTGGATGACAGAACGTGGTTTGGGGGAGAAAGCAAAAGGAAGGACCTTGTTGAGAGCTGCAAGGGATAGAGGGAGATGGAGAGCCATGATCGCCTACGTCCTGAAAGAATACGACACATAAAAAGAAAAGGAGGATAAAGGTGGAATAGCAAGAAGCCAAACATTTCTTAGATGTATACATGATATGAAGATGTGGAGAGCCATGATCACCCAATTCTTGAGGGAATGCGACATATAAAAGAACTGTTTTCATATTTCAATTGCTTTTTTTTTTTCTTTTCTGTTTCCTTTTTTCTCATTCATTTACAATATTTATATGGCTAGTGTTTCTTACCTTCCAAATAAAAGACGCGTTCGGCGGAGCAGAGGCGTACTCAACAAAAAAAAAAAAATGAAATTCATTGCATTTTACAAAAAAAAATTAGAGCCGATTACATATTTCAATCTCAATTAGGGTTTATAATCTGTAATCATGCAACGACATAAGTTTTTTTTTTTTTTTAAGCATTTCACCCCAAGCGGGAAGGCGGGAAGCCACAAGGACGCAAGGGGTTACAGAAAATTTAGAGCAAGATCAGATAGGAGTGATAGAAGAAAGGATGAGGGTAGTGGATAGATTAAGGCAACTGAAGATGTTGATTGACATTACACTTGAATAGTTGGAGATTATAGCTCACAGGGAAACAGGAATAGGGAAGGGAGTTCCACAGGCGAGAGGTGCGAGACATGAAGCTATTAGAGTAGAAGAGACGGCTACATTTAGGAGTTTCGACAGTGAAGGGGTGAGAGCGGGATGCCAGCCTCGTAGAGCGCTGGAACTCATGACGTCTGGGATCCAGCGAATGCAGCTCATCGGAGCAATTACCATGAAAGTATTTGTAGAACAGACAGAGGGAGGCGACGGCGCGTTTGTGAGAAAGTGACTGTAGACGAGACGCCAGGGCAGGGCCAACTGCATTGCATATCCGCCTCTGGAGCCTATCAAGAACCCCAAGGATTGTTATATAATCATACTAAAATCGCTAAGATTTTTTTGTCAAAAGCATTTTATTCTTGGTCGTATATTAATTCAAAATATTCCTTTTTACAGGCTTTATTTTTTGAAATGGAATAAGATCTCTAAATTTCAGAATTTCGCGATTGTCCATCAAAACGAATGAAAGAAAGCAATCTAAAATCATCAATGAAAAAAATGAAGTAACAAAGCGTAAACTTAAGAACATGGGAAACTTAGCATTGCAGCCAAAGTATTCTAAAATGCTGCCAATAGCAAATGAAAAATACCGAACAACAAATCGAATATACATTATTCGGACTATTGTCCTCATCTTTGTCGCCATATTTATCACAACGTTTCGGCCGTTATACGCTCCGGCCTTCTTCAGGTGGTTGGAATTTTGAACTGAACCGTTTATTACGCTCACTGGGGTAGACTGTTCTAGTTCCACGTGCCATGTTTGATGGATGTCGGTTATCAGTTATCTCCTGCTAATTTCCCTCTGAATTTCCCTCGGGTATTGAACTCAAACTCTTTGGGTCCTGTCACTGGATCTAACCAACGCCTTTATCCACTGTGTCCTTGTGATAAATATGGCGACATATTTATCACAAGATGAGGACAATAGTCCGAATAATGTAAATAATGTACATAATACCTCATCTCAGAAATATAGACAGATACTGAAGGGCCAATACGTTGTAATAAATATGGCGACAAAGATGAGGACAATAGTCTGAATAATGTAAATAATGTACATAATACCTCATCTCAGAAATATAGACAGATACTGAAGGGCCAATACGTTGTAATAAATATGGCGACAAAGATGAGGACAATAGTCCGAATAATGTAAATAATGTACATAATACCTCATCTCAGAAATATAGACAGATACTGAAGGGCCAAAACGTTGTAATAAATATGGCGACAAAGATGAGGACAATAGTCCGAATAATGTAAATAATGTACATAATACCTCATCTCAGAAATATAGGCAAATCGAATATAGCATCAAAATTTATATTATTTTTATTTATTTGTTATGTAACTAAATACATTTGTCAACAATGTTTCCGTAAAACTTGATATTTCCTGTAATAAATACTTAATAAATATTATTATTGTTATTATTTTACTTAAGTGTAAGGTAGTCCTATATTTGCAATTCCTTACGGCTAACCATGAAAAGAAATGTTGATCAAAAACTGCCTAAAACCTTTAAGCGCGTATTGCCGCAAAATTATCAAATGCTGAATACGCCCCTCTTCGCCGAAGGCGTAAAATATCCGTGCATGTTAATTGCAACTTTTTTTTTTCAATGTTTTATTTTGCTTTCTTTGTTTACGTAATTCATTCGTCGGGACGTTTCTTTTTATCTTCAACTCTCGCCCGTCGCAGGATCTTTCGTAGCCGGTAGCAGGAAATCTTTTGCCTGTTGCCGACATTTGAAATTAGGTTCTTCAAAGAGGCAATGAAATTGGCTTAAACATTTACCTTCGCTTTTGAAAAAAAAACGCTACGCCGCACAAACACAGACACACAAACCCACCGATCCTTTAAAACGCAATCATCCTCGCAAACATGTCTTCTTAACTGCAGAAGCACGAACGCCCACGCAAGAATCCATTTACACCACACTCGCGCTACAAAAAAAGACGTATATGTATATGCATACAACACTAGCACGCAAATGCAGACCCATATATATACACAGAAGCTGAACACATACATGTAAATATTCATTATCTCTTTCACAGACACAAATAGAGGGAAACGTTCCATATATTTTTTATAGGGCTAACGTCTTACTGCCACTCACTTTTCTCAATATTCACATAAAAATTTTCTGCTAATCCTCTACTCATGATCCCTTTCATTCATTTTTTTGCTGACAGTATAAGATGAGCACGTGCAACTTCCTCTAATACTCGGCAACGAATGACTCGTCTAGTGCGAGTCTAAAGAAAATGGAAGTTGGGACGTGAGCCGACGGGATCGGGAATGTTTGAGGAATCATTTACCCGGTGAGGAATGCGGTCATTTCCGAAATTAAAGTGTTACACCTCAGAAGGTCGATTTTCAAGTTTGCACGTCATGCAGTGAGTTTGTTTATCTATCTATCTATCTATCTATCTATCTATCTATCTATCTATCTTGGACTGTTCATATCTATCTATCTATCTATCTATCTATCTATCTATCTATCTATCTATCTTAATCTTTTCATATCAATCTATCTCTTTTAATATCTATCTCAGTCTTTTCATATCTATCTATCTATCTATCTATCTATCTATCTATCTATCTATCTATATTAGTTTTTTCATATCTATCTATCTCTTTTAATATATATCTCAGTCTTTTCATATCTATCTCTCTATCACATTTTTTCATTATCTATCTATCTATCTATCTCAGTCTTTTCATATCTTTTTCTTTATCTCAGTTTTTCATATCTATCTATCTATCTATCTATCTATATTTTTAATATCTATCACAGTCTTTTCATATCTATCACATTCTTTTCATTATCTATCTATCTATCTATCTATCTGTCTTTTCATATCTTTTTCTTTATCTCAGTTTTTCATATCTATCTATCTATCACAGTCTTTTCATTATCTATCTATCTATCTATCTCCATTTCTAATTCAGTCCTTTATAATCAGAACCTCACTCAATAATCTTTTACTCAGTAATGTTCGCTTCCGTCATTTGCCCATATAAAGCCATAGAAGCCGCACAAGACATTCACTTATGCTGTCCGGTTGGATGAAGACATCTAACAGAAGAGATCAACACTTCAATGTAAATTGTAGTCTGCGATCAAGAAAGAAGTCAATTAACTGGGATAAAGTGGAAAATGACTGTAGCCGGTCGCCGAGGGAACAATGGAGACGCAGTTGATCACAGCTCCAGAATATGAGACTGGAACGTGATCTCGTCCCATGTCAGACGAGATTGAAATCGACATTATTGGTCAGCAGGAGATGAATTAGATCGGCGGCGAAAAGAAATAAACGGAAGTGGATATAATGATGGATGGTCCGATGAGTGAATTGCTTGCACACGCGCATGCGTGCGCACACTGATTCACACGCATCACTCTCCAGTATTGAGTTATCAAAAACGTTTACGCAACCTTGGGGATGGGGAGAGTGTTAGGCTCGTCCATGTAGTCCCCGTCTAAAAGAAGGTAAAATCCCAAGGATAGCGCTACATCCATGGCAAATGTTCCAACGGGCTCTATTTTTTACTGCTTCAAGTTTAGGCCTTTACATCCAAGACCTGCATTGCGAAGTCCAGAGGGTTGATTTAGTAAGAAGGATGCATTGCTTTAGTAAGGAGGATGTTCCACTCCGAAAGTGTTTTCCCCTAAAGCAATAACTTTGTGAAAAAAACTCCCACATGGATGCTTCCCTGACCACGACAATGTTAATATATTTAAGTCTGCGCCGTCGCCTCTCTCTGTCTTTTCTACAAATACTTTCATGGTAATTGCTCCGATGAGCTGCTTTCACTGGTTCCCAGACTTCATGAATTCAAGCGCCCTACGAGGCTGGCATCCCGCTCTTACCCTTACACTGTATAAACTTTTAAATGTAGCCGTCTCTTCTACTCCAATAGCGTCATACCTCGCACCTCTGGCCTGTGGAACACCCTTCCCAATTACTGTTTCCCTGAGAGCTATAATCTCCAACTATTCAAATGTAATGTCAATCGGCACCTCCAGTTATCTTGATCTATCCACTATCCTTCTCCTCATCCTTTCTTCTATCACTCCTATCTGCTCTTGCTCCAAATCTTCTGCAACCCCCTGCATCCTAGTGGCTTCACGCCTTGCTCGGGACGTAATGCTTAAAAAAAAGAGTAAATCGTTTAACTATCCGCCATATTTTTATGTGATTTCATCACAAACAAGACAATAAAGCCACTAAGATGCAAGGAGTTACTGAGTTTGAGATAATATGAGAAAAAGAATAGATATTATTAAAGAAAGCTAAAACAGAAATTAGGAAGAGAGATGATATCAATTGACACTGCATTTGCCAAAAAACAACCATCTAAAAAAATGACTTTACGTATATAATAAAAATACACACACATCGATTACGTCGCAACACTTTTTGACTACGTTACAATAATCATTAATTCACCATTTGTCTTTAACCTGACGATGACTTAAGAAAGTCGAAAGTTTGGATAATAATTTTTGGATCTTTCTTCCGAAATGAACTTCGGACAATTTCTGACAGAATTTCTTTCATGTTTCAGAAGGATTATGTTGTGGCCTGTTTAGGGGCCAGAAAGAAAGACACGGAAGACAACGGTAGGTTGAAAAAAGTATATTGAAGATATATAGAAAATAATAGTGTTAGTAATAAGTAGATTAGCACTGCGTCTACTACTCCACTTCACTTGTCACTCTGAGCTCCTGTCCGACTCTCCCAGTTTGTATTTATGAGAGGAGGAAGAGTTCATTATACTGTAAGAGGGTTTACCACAACAGATTGTTCATGATTTGGAAAAGTAAAATTAATCAACACAAATTGCTCATTTTCTTTGATAATAACTATAATAATAATAATAATTATAATATATATATATATATATATATATATATATATATATATATATATATATATATATATATATATATATTTGAATTTGTAGGTCTGATGATTTGATCGTATTTACGATTCCAATGGAATAAATTATGACCATGGAATATTAGTCTTTAAGCATTTTTTTTATATATATATATATATATATATATATATATATATATATATGATTATTTTATTTATTTATTTATCATTTTTATTTATTTTATTTCACTTTTATTGTTATATATTATTTTTATTTTTTTATCTTAATTTTCTAACTGCATATTTTATTAATATTATTAGTATTATCAATTTTATTAATATTATCAATTTTATTAATATTATTGATTTTATTACTATTATTGATTTTCATACAAAAAATAAAGTTACCCCCCCTTGATGTTCAAACGTTTTTTTTTTTCGTAACAGTGTCCGTTTTAAATTAAAATTTACAAATCTTATTTTCACTCATATCTTCAATCTTAAATTTTAATCTGGGTCTAAATTCAAATCCCAAATTAAACTACAATTCATTTAAATGCTCAACAAGAATAATAATCCTCCCTAACAATAAAATATCTCGCGATAACCAGGAATATTAAATAAACGGTGTCATTCCAAACTTGTACCTGAAGATTGCAAATAGCATGAAACACCGATTTGCTTATCATTCAACTAACGCTACTTACAGCTGAAGGATCGTTTCGATTTCGAGTAATTTAAACTAAGGTATATGTATTTAAGCTATTGTTATCTTGGCCGAACAATATACATTGCCCAGTGATGTTTTCAGGTCTGATTTATCATTGTTGACAAGTTGAAACCTGTGAACGGACCGAAAGGTGAGTTGTTTTAATGCTGTACATGTGGGAAACACATCTTGGTTGTTTTCATCTAAATTTCAGTTATTTTCCTTGCAAAAAATTTGTTTGAGAGTATGTGTTCGTCGATTTTTCGTCTTTTGTTAATAGTTAATATATATATATATATATATATATATATATAATTATTTATTTAAACATATGATTCCAACACGCTACATAAGAGTTTTCATGTTTCAAAACAAGAGCCGAAAACTTCAATATAATTATTTGAATTAAATTGAATTAAAGTAACCTCTGTTCCATCTTCAAGCGAATTTTTTTTAGAATAACTTATTTCTGAAATTTACGTGTTTTAATAGCATATTCATTATTGAAATCAAAATTTCCATGGTAACGGCTAGAGCGATTGAAAGGAGTGTAGGGTGTTAATAATAATTAATAACACCCTACACCCCGGTTCTGTAGGGTGGTATTAATAATTAAAAACATCCGTTTCTGTAGGGTGCTAGTAATAATTAACAACACCCTACACCCTTTTCTATTTAAACAATCGCTCTTATGTAGCGTGTTGGAATCATATTTTTAAATAAATAATTATATTTATGCTCTACTTTTGTATCGAGCACTATTTTTTAAAAATAATAACAAAATACTAAAGAACTTTGGATTATTTACCTAACGAGTTCTTTCCTATTTTCTATATATTTTACACACACACACACATACATACACTCACACACACACGTATATATATATATATATATATATATATATATATATATATATATATATATATTATAACTTAAACGTTATTTTTAGTGAGTAGACGCTGCGTTTATTTATTAACAGTATATTTATTTATTTTCGTCTACTGGTCTGAACATTGGAGAAATCTTATTAAAGAAAAGCCGCGTCTAGCAGTATTGCGGATCGAACAAAGCTGAATAGTGACTTTAAGTGGAAATTTCTTCAAAGATACTCGAAACATTCATTACTGCTTTGTTTTGTATCCCAAAGTAAACAAAGCAATTTCTAAAGAACTAGTGGATATTTTTAATTTATTAATCAGACAGATTTTATCACTTAAACGTTATTATTAAACTTTTTTTAACACTGAAATGTTCCGGTTATTTACGAAAACTTATATTTATTTATTTTAGTCTCCGGCCTGAATATTAGATAAATCTTATTTGAGAAAAGATGCACACTGCCCCGCCCCGCCACCGGACAGGATTCGAACCTGAGTACACCTCACAGGAGAAATCATCGTCAGATCCGACGTGCCTTATAAAAATAATGTTTAATTTATAAAATCTGTCGGATTAATAAGTAAAAAGATCTATTGCTTTTATATCTATATCTATCTATCTATATATATATATATATATATATATATATATATATATATATATAGTACAATTAATAAATCCGTATATATTATATATGGTATATAATCCAAGTGGATCCTAGTAATATAAAATATTAAAACTGATCCACAAAAAGAGCTCAATGTATTTATTATAACAGAGCATATAAATTACCTAATTGACGTTAGTTGAAATAGACTATACTCATGAGGTAGTATATATACACTGATATTCCATGGTTATAATTTGGCCAGTAAATTCGACCTTGCTAACCGAACGCTCCTCTGTGGCCAAATCGGTTAAAGGCACGTCAAGCTAAATGACGGTTCCGTATAGGATACAGGTTCCAATCCTGTCGGAGGACAAATATTTTCTGCGAAAATTTCTCGGATATTCAGGCCGGGAAATGTTGTTTAATACTGTTTATTATAAACAGAGCATTTACTTAAATATTTGTATCTATAAAAAGAATGTTTAAACATAAAAATGTCTTAAAATAATTGTCAGACTTTTGTGCATATATTATATATATATATATATATATATATATATATATATATATATATATATATATATAAAAAGAAAGAACAGTAAGATATATAATCCGGTGTTCTTATAGGTACTTTTATTTTTTATTTTTACAAAATAGTGCTCGATATAAATTTATAGAGCATTATATATATATATATATATATATATATATATATATATATATATGGAACACACACCTATTCTATAGTTAATAGACTCTCCTCTGAGGAGTCGCTCAGGGGGTCAGTGAGTCAGTCGATGCCGGACGACCGTTAGTCGGATACTAAAGTATCAGCGACCGCCACTAGATTACTCTGCGTCATTATTTATTTTATCAAGTTCCTAAAGTTTTGTA